TTAGGGCTTCATTGTATCTATATATTGAGGCTCTGGTAAATCTATGGGACATAAATTTTTGGGTGAATGAATTGATTTTCACATTTGTCATGATATCAGAGCCCGGTTAAATTGTATATTCAACCATTGTATCATATCTACTAGTACGAATCCCGTGCGATATAAGGGTAAAAGATATTTATTAATATTTATAAATTAAAAATATTCATTAAATAATATTTATAATTTCAAAATATAGAATCAATAGTTAATACAATTTACATATATTAATTATTAAAAATGTTATATGAAATTTAATTGTGCAACATTACATCAAATATGTCTATTGAAAATTGATACACAACTCGTAGGGTGCATGTATATGATAATAAATTACATTATATTTATTTTTAAAAAAGTGTCATTTTAAATTTTTTATTCAAAAACACAATTTGTAATTATAAAAAATAAATCTATTATGACAGTTTATTATAGTTGTTAATCGAAACAAACTGCTCGTGAGTTTGGTTTGCCTCGAGTTTGTTCAAAGCTCGTTCAGTTAATAAGCTGAGAGCGAGCTGAGATCGACTTTTGAGGTTAAAAAATAGAAATATTTATGTTCTTTTTTTTTTTCTGTAACTCGGTAGTTAAGCCTCGAGCTCAACTCATTAAAACTCGCTCGAGTCCACCTCGTTAAAATTGATAAGTAAACCGAACTCAAACTTATTTATTAACAGTCTAATTATCGAGCCTAGCAATAAAATGTTACATTAAAATATATAAAAAGCAAATAAGAAAGAACAGAAAATGTAAGTATTTTTTTCCGAAACGATATGAATCATATATATTCACAAAACAAACAAGAGAAAATGTAAGTATTTTTTTCCGAAACGATATGACTCATATATATTCACAAAACAAACAAGACTAGAGAGCAACCACTCAGCCGAATAAATAGCCAACGACCGAATAAATAGTTAAGCCGCTGAATCTAGTTGGGAGGACTACACAGACATACGGTAGCACAGAATCAACCTAAAAAACAACACAAAAACTCGAAAACTCCCTGAAGGAGACTAACAAAAGCTCCCAAGAGTGGTGACTACACCAAACGCATTCCCAACAGGAAAGAAAAATAAAAAAATACAACCTAAACACAAGAAACAAAAACATTGAACTAAATCTACTTAAACAAACAAACTAAACAAAACAGAACCAAGGCCCTTCCCGCAGCAGTCAAACCGAAACCAACATGAAGCACCAGCAAAACCCATGGCCGACCACCCAACAGACTGGACCGAAGCCTGAGAAACCACTCCTGAAACTACCTAAACATCTAACCGAAGTCGAATCCTGGGACCCTGAACCACTTTAGATAGACGAAGCCAACCGA